GCCCGGGGGCTTACACACACACCCACCCACCCCCCACCCCGGCTGCCTGCGGCCAAGGTGCGATGAAACCTCTCCGTGTCTCTCCCCAGATGTGCAAGAAGTTCACCATCTGCGGGAACAGCATGGAAATGCTCGTCCAGAACAACCTCAACCTCCCCCAGGTGACGAAGGAAGACGGGTGCCTGCTCGCTGGCTTCAACGAGGCAAGGAACCACTCTCCTTTCTGGGCTTATCCTATATAATATATATATAATACCCGGGGCAATCTGTGTCCACTCCAAAACAACTGTGGAAGCTGACCCAAGGACACGTGCCAGCTCCAGCTGGCTTTGGCGTGGCACAAAGCTCCATACAAGCGTCACCCGCTCGCCTGCGCTGCTGGCGCAATATCGTGATCAAGGCATTTCTGAGCCGTAAGTGACTTTCCCACCTTTCTCTCATTTCAGGATAAATGCTTGAGGAAAATCTCCAGCGGGCTTTATACATTCCAGACATACCTTCAATACGTACAAGAAACTTTTACTAGTGAAAAGCAAAATGTTGAATGGCTGTGCTACAGTACAGAGCACCTGGCACACACCGTAAGACAGATGGTGAGTTGGTTTTGAATTCACTCCGATAATTGTTATGGCTTGGCACTGATGTGTAGTCAGAGAGGACGCTATGTGAAGTTGAACATTTCCCACTTTCATTTCTCTCAGCGGAAACAGGTGATGGTTCCTTACACTCAGATACTTAGAGGTTTTACAAGGTTTTGTTCTCTTTTCTTAAAGAAACAACTCTTCTTCCTACTTTCTGTTGCTATTTCTAATTTCCAAACTGACAATTAAACACGTCGTTGTTTTAAGAACAAACATACTAACGCTGCCAGCTGATAGAAATAAGATTTCTCAGGGAGCTTGTTCCCAATTGTGGAACCGCAGTTGAGTCCAAACCTTCTACTGCTGCAACCCTCTGAAAAGTAGAAGTAACTTTTATTTCTGTGAGTTTTTAAGAAAAGCAAATACATTTTTACAATAAATCTTTAAAACTCTCCAAAACAAACTTTGAAGCCAAGCTGTACGGTATACTGCGATATCAATAGCTTAGAAATCAAGACAGACAGTTAGAACATAAATTAGTAACTTCACTAAATGAAAGGTGCTGCCTATTGAAAAGCACACATTTTGCTTGCAATCATCATCATAAAAAAAACCCAAACAACAAACCTTCCTCTTTACAAATACCAGATTCTCTTTTGATTCAGTAAACTAAATGCTATCCATTTCTGACAGTCATTTTCTATGTTTTGGAGAGCTTTGAAAGAAATGGCACTTCAAAAATTCACTTCATTCCTGCAGTCCTTACTCACGTTAATAACACTTAACTTGAATACTTCCTTTGTCATCAGGGAAACTACCCGAGAAAGAACCACCCAGGTGAGTAAGGACTGCAGAAATCTCAGGGCACTATTTCCTTCAAGGTGTTTTTTGGCATCTGAAAAGCCCCTTGTGTGTTTGCCATACCTTTCCTAACTTATTTATTTATGTCCATCATTCTTTAAGTGAAAGGGAGCTGAACTGCTTTTTTCACACTGTGCTAGCTAAGAATAATAGTCCTGTCATAAGACAGCAATCGACTCCTGGCTTCCAACTTGATGTATTAGTTCAGAGAAAGTTTGTTTCAGAACTGGGGGAGTCTGGCTTTTTTGGAAAATTCGTAGGATGGAGGTAATTGGAACAGGCAGAATTAAACACTGATCAAAAGCAAAACCTGTACTTGTAGAAACTATCGTTTTTGAGAAAGACAGGAGTCTTGATCTCCAGGCTGGAAATTGTTCTTTATGGGAGAAGTTTATCTGCTATTTAAGGGAAGGAGAGCAAGGACAGAATCTGTCACTTGTGGTCAGGCAGATCCATCAGCACAGTACCTGTCCAGATACAAACTTTTACAGCGTGCAAAAGGAGGGAAATTCTTAGAGTTTCACAAAAAAAGATGTTCCAGAAGGAGGTGCACATGCTTTTGTCACTTGTTAAAGGGTAGGAGAGACCCTAAACCCAGGATGAAGCAGATACTTTATTGTTAGACTTCTAGACCTCAAATCACCTAAAACAGCTCCACGATTTGGGCACGTAACTCCCCTTTTCAGAGGTCACCTACCCACCTGATGGGACAAGCTCTTAGAAGGCATTTGGGTACCGGGTGCCCAGCGCTGTCAGTCAGCATGAGGTACATAAGTCCTTCTACTCATCTTGCAATTAGGATCCCACACACCAGTGAAAGTTGGTGACACTTAAGTCTCCCACGTGCCTAAATGCCTGCAAAGTAAGAATTAAGCAGCTGAACAAGTTGGACATCTTTGGGAACTGTTAATGTACTACAAAATGTGAACGTACTCCAATGTCACCTAATTAACTCATGACTCAGGATGCAGCAGCCAGTACAGGTTAGGACAAGTCACAACCAGCACCTTCCCAACTAACCGGGCGGTCACAGGCAGCAGGAGAGGTGTATCGGTCTGCTCGGTGCAGCGTGTTGGACCGTGATGCGGTGTGGCATTCAAACCACAACAGGACGAGACCCTCCGATTGCCCTGCAGTAACCATAGCGGGCATCGTCGTGCCTCACCGCCCCCCGCAGAAGCAGGGCTGTAGGGGAGCATGGGTCCCAGGGGGGTCTGTCATCCACAGCACAGAAAGGGTGGACAGGCAGCCAGTCGGGAACACGTTACACACACAACGTACAGTGTTTTAATCCCAACATTGTCTTCTTCGCAGGTGATCAATCCCAGTGAAGTGATCATCCCGGACTCAGCCACCCAGGAATCCCTCCGCACAAAGCTGAAGTCCAATAAGACCTGGGTAGAGAAAATCACCACCCACCTCATCCTCCGAGACTTTACTTCATTTATGGAGAAAACCGTGAGGGCCATTCGCTACGTGAAAAACACCAGGAGTTTCGGTGTCTGAATGTTTTAATTCAGGCACAATCCTTTGTTACAAATCTGTCATGTGGCAGATGACAGTGTTGTTCTGTTTTAAGAACCAGAAATAGTAACAATGGTTTGCATTTATATACATTCTCGTTTCCTTCTAGGAACCTATTTATTGTATTTAAAATATTTATTCGTTTCTAATGTTTCCTATTTATATTTTCAATATTTAGAAATAATTTAAACACAGGACGTATTTTATTTCATTTCTAACGGTACTATTCAGAATATCAATTTATTTAATATGTATTCAACAAAAAATATTTTCAGAAGTCAGAAAAACTGTTGTATAACTTATGCTTTTAAAATATTTGAGAGATGGTATTTATGACTTTTTTTATATTTTTAGAACAAATAAAAGCTGATTTAAAAAAACCAACCGCATAACCTGTTTGAACTTTAAACAAGACTTAAGGAACTCTAATGTATCCAATTTTTATTACCTGCAATTATCAAAATAACCATTTCCAAGAATTTAAATTCTATCTGTATAATTAGGTCAGTTATCTACATACCTACACCCATACACAGACAGCTTAATCAACATATAATTCTTAAAATGGGATACGAAGGAATCAGATGCACTGAACATGGCACTTAAGAATGAAGACAATAAAGCATCACTGCTCTTAAGAAACAAACAAGTCCCCTATATTTAATAAGGAATATTCCATAAAATTGTAGTTGTTTGTAAGCCTCTGCTTACAAGTCAAGAAATCTCTTTTAAACAAATAAAATGGTAAGATACCACACAAACAGCTTTGACACCAATACTGTCACCTGATTAGACTTACTACTGTCATCCAGGGGAATTTTCCAAGTTTGATTACACATCTGTGCCCCCTCCCCCAAGAAGCAGAAAAAAAAAAATCTTAAGTTCTTTCCTTAGGTGATATAAATCAACACATTGCTGCTGAGATGTCAGTGACCATTGACAATCTAATGCATTTGTATTCTGTCATTTATATTCCACTAGCACGGACAGGCCACGTAGCGTGAATGCATATTCTTGAATACTGAAGAGGAAAAAAAAAAAGACAACCCTCAAAACAGGCCCTCAGCCCAAGTACCAAACTGCTGAAACATTCCTTAGCTGTACCCCCTGCTTCATCGTGGCTGTGCAGGTACCTCCTATACCCAACGCAGAGGAACTCACAGCACACATGAGGGACACAAGTGTCCCTGCAAGAGGTGGAACAGCGGTTACCCTCTCTTCTTTCCTTTCGGCACCACATAAGGAGATGAAAGGCAAGCCCTGGAATGTGGATAAGGATGACAGTAAACTCTCCTCTTCCTCTCAGGCACACGCATTCCACCACTGGGGATGCCAAAACAGTGACCAGTCCACCCAGAGCCCCCTCTCAGAGGCTCAAAACAAGTCATGGCTTTGCCCAATATGGTAAAACCAACGTCTCAAGTTGTACAACATCTCAAGAAGCAACGAGGAGTCCTCAAGGTAGTCACTCTGAAGATGTCTGTGGTGAATGGGTTTTTCCTCACAATATCTAAGATCCTGCTTTAGCTTCCTGGTATGTGCTACAGGAGACACAGGAAAGCCTGGTTTGGCTTTTTCACAGCTTCTCTTCACAGAGATTTTCTTAGTGACCATTTGGTCAGAGACCATTTTGGCCCTTATCATGCCCATAATAGCTACGAGACCCAAACGTGGCTCCCACACTGGCCTTTTTAAGGACTTCATTATTACTATTTGAGAATAGATGGGGAAAAAAAGAAGGGAAAAAAAACCAAAACAACAAGCCACCCAGACAGACCAGAGAGGCATCTCCTGGTCTCACCTCTCCCAGCAGTGGGTTGCTGCCCGAGATCACCACTAGTTACCATGCACACTGCAGCTAAACTCACAGCGAGTTCCTCCTTGAACGCCAGGACGTGTTTAAGACACAGGGTACCGACATCTTGTGCAATCGACAGACAAGCACCCACACTTCCCACCAGCACCCTTCAGGTGGTGGCCACCCCAGGTGGTCCGCAAAAGTAAACATGCTACTACATTTTAGGATGTAGAAGATGAGCAAAGATCACCACTTGCTGGGTGGGGAGGTCAACTCTCAAGTCCTTCCTGGAGCGAAGGGTACCACTGCTGCTGAGCTGCCTTCATTTTACCTGTGGCTCCTCCACAGCCACCAACAATCCTCAGGGCACTTCAACGCAGCAGCAGCCTTGCTGGCCATCGTTTTGCTCGCACTGTGCCAGGGACAATCCCAGGGACTGTCCTCAGGATAAGCACCACTGGCTGAAATCTACACTCATTGGTGCTTGTGGCACATGAAGACTTGCAGTGGGGAATTCATAGGGAAGTCAGAGGAGAACTAAACACTGCTGAATATGTTATGGGGCCTCTCAAACCAAACAACTGACTGTCCTTTGGTTTGCTGCGTAGAACATGTTTTACAACAATCAAACACATATGGACATTAGTTTTAGTTGGCACACCAGCACGAACTCATAAGAAAACAGAACAATAGTAAAAACGAGTGTTCCCAACTCTTAAATCAATCCTCAAAAATAACTGTGCTACCTTTAGGAACAATGAAATACCTCAACACTTGTGAAGAAAGCTCCTCCTAACTGACAGCTAACTCGCTGAGCAAGGAAAAAAAAAAACAAAACAAACCATCCCAAAACCAAAAAGACCTGCTAATAATTGCTTATAAAAACTAGGAAACTACACAACAAAGCAGCATTTCGGCTGCTGCTGTATGGGACCAGCCTCTCCCCTCAGATCCCCACTAGCCCTTCCCCATTGTTCCCACTGCATCCCTGCTCGTTAACCTCACACAGAGATTTCTGAATGCTCAACAGATTACTAACTGCCTTCATCCTGCATTTGCTTTCCCACTGCAGGAAGAGGGAAAAGCTATGTTAAAAAGCATGCATACGTTCTACAGTATGCAAGAAAAAGCCCACGGTATTAAAAGACAAGTGTTGAAGATGAGAAATAAAACATTCCTCAGTGCTGGGTACATCACACTAAAAATGCTACACAAGAGGGGAAAAAAAATTAGAAAGACCGAATGCAACCTAACACTACAGTAATCTGTAATGCAAAACTACTAAATTTTTTTCACCATGACAGTCTTATTATCAGTCTCAGTATTATTTTTCTATTTTTTAACCATACTTTTTCATCAGATGCGTACAAAACTGTAAAAAAAAAAAAAGGAAAATATTTCAGCCTGGTCCACTCCCCAGGTTGCAGTACCATCCCCTGCCCGGGAAGCCTATGTACTGATGTAAATGACGAATTTTGACAGAAAGAACAGCAGCTACTTGAAAGGGACTGTCTGTATCTCTCGATTTGTATTAATGGCTGACAGTAAGTGAGGTTAGCAAGACGGAGCTGAGGCTACAAGGGCTGGAAGAGTTACGCCACCAGTGAAGCAAGAGGAGCAGGATCACTTTTCAGCAGTAATGAGCCATTAGGTTGGCTTAGCTCGATGGGAAACTTCCCCCTAAGTTTGCCACTGGTATTTGTGACTAATAACCTTTCCCGCATTCAATTTAAAAGATAAAACGGTGGAAAGGTAAGTGTGCCATAGTGTATACACCAAAGTCCGACCCTAATGGTCAAGAAGTGCTGCCAAATATACATATATTACTGCATACCTGATATTGGGCAGGAAGCTTTCTGTAAACCCTTGCTTCTCGAGTTGAATGATTAGGTAACAGTTTGTGATCACTATCAGTGAACAACTTCTTGGTGCCAGGAAAACCAAAACCCACCCCCTTGATCCCAGAAAATGCAACTTCTGTAGGCTCCAACACTAAAATACATTTCCTCCTTGAACTCTTAACAACATCAACTAATTTCTGTAATCTAAACATATTTTACCAAATCTCGGTATAGTTTCAAGATTGACTTTGGCAGCCATCAGAAAACTCACCATAGAAATTTTGCAATCTGAATTTCTATTCAGATTCTGACCAGAATCTAAGATGATTCGACCTTTCATGACAAAATCTGTTTTTAAAAAATTAAACATTAATCTTCAGATTCAGAAAACTGGGGTTTGATTTGCCCTGCCATCCTTATTTCTACCAGACAGCGCTTACCTAACACAGCATTTTCAAGATTTTATTCCATGTCAACTGTACCGAGGGCAAAATTCTGACTGGTTTCAATAACAAGTGTATTTATGATATGTTGTTTCTTTATCCCTTTGAACCTGCATATTAATAGACACAGTTCTATTCTGTACCATATAAATAGGGACGATATGATGTATAAGCAAATTATATTAACAGCTTTATAACCTGAGAGAATCACTTCGAGCTGTTACACACACACACAAGGTAAAATCACCTTCGGAAAGCTCAAAGTCCCACCCTCAAATCAAGAGGGGAAAAATTAGCTACTATGCCATCACTACTGCACAGCAATAGTCTGTCTCCTCTTCCACTTTAACAATCTGGGAAGTGATGCAAAGGGAAAAGTGATCATACATTCACTATGCCTGTGGATCCCACAGTAGCATGTGTTAACAAATACAATGAAGTTCAAACATGGCCCTCAAATGGCAAGACCTATACCCCTCCTAATCATATAGCTCAGCGACCTGGGACAGGAATAAAAGAAAATGGAATTTGTTAGAAGAGAGACCATTTGGGATGAAGGCAGATGTACAGGCAACCTTCCAGTCTGGCCAGAAAGGGACTGTTTTCAGGGTGAGCTGTCACAAATTGCACCACCCGGGGGGGTCTCTACAAGAATAAAATGGACCCTGAGAAGTAGAATTGGAACATAACTGGAAGTCTCTGCTTATCTCACTTCCCAGGCTAGTAACTGCTCCCTGCTTTGCAGTTGCTCGAACTTCTGATTTTTTGATAGAAACTTGGAACTGACTTCTTAATCAGAAGAAATAATCAGCGAGCAAATACCCTTTTCCACTCAGCAGATAGGCATCCCCTCTGTCTTACCTATCCCCTAAGCCTGAAGCATAACCAAGAAACAATGTGTGTAACCCACGAGCCTAACCAAGAAAC